ACCTTCTGGAGCTCCCTGAAGGACCCCAGGTTGAGAGTGGATCTTTAGTTTTATAAGAGGTAAACATTACATAACATTAACCCCAAACCACTGCCATATCAGACACATTGCAGTGACGTGATTTAGTAAACATGACTACTACACAAGGTTATTACAAGTTTATCACTTTTGTCTGGCTGTTTGATCTCATTGAATTTCATCCATAAAATGTGTCAGACTCTTTCATTAAAAGTAGCTGTATTAGCTTGTATAATCAGTTAACATTGTTATAGTTTGGTGAACAATGTTTACACATCTCTTTCTATCACGTTTGGTGCTCACGTGGATTTTAACTGCCTAAATTTTAAGCTTAACACACACCAGCACATAAAGAAGAAATTCACACGTTTAAAAAGTTAATGTTGTGTCAGTTCAACCACAGTTAGCACTGAAAGCTAGCTAGTTGGTAGCTAACTGCTGAACCACGTAACATTGACTTCAGAGTATAGACGGAGCCCTCCGCTGTCAACAGGGACTGTAGCTCCGTTGCAATGCCACTTTAGGCAAAGCCATGACAGAAACTGTAATTGACATTAACGGCTAATGAAACCGGTTTGTTTGTTGTAATGATTTTCAACGTACCACCAGTCCTGCGGGGGAGCGGAACGCCAAAACACCACAGCGGCTCAAGGACGTGAAACTGGCAACCGACATTTTGGAGTTTCTCTGACCTCCACCGCCTGCGATCCCAGCAGCCACCGTGGCTGCGTCACAGCTCGGGTGGGAGCGCGTGTTTTGTGAAGCGGTGTCTCCTGGCTTTCAAAGCACACCAGAGGTTACCAAACACAAGGACAGCGTGAAATTTCATGATTTGTTTGATTTTCTTGTGACGATTTTGCCTCGTCTTTAGTTGTTGCTTTACAATAATCTTCTGTAGTTATAATGGATTTGTTTTAATTGAGACTCCGGGTATTCGTAGGACAGCAAACGCGGGCGGACACACGTACACCAGATGTCTCGGTTCTTAAATCCAACGAACCCAAAGCGCCTCTGTCAGTCGTAACACAGCGTGTGAGTTTGAACTCACGTAACAGTCTCTTCACTGGTGGAGTGGGCTAAGGTCATTTAAATAGTGTTTTAATTCAGGACGGTGGTGAAGTGGTCCACTTTAAGAGCAGACATGGTGTTCCTGACGTTATCTTGTTGGATAAGAAGCCGAGGACCCGACAGATACTGGAAAGTTCAAGAAGTCCTCAAACATGCACGGGTAAGGCCACGACTACTTCCTGGAGGAGAAGGGGGGGGGGCTAGCTTCTCTTCACTGTTAAAATGTTGTGGTATTTGTGTTGTATACATTTATGTGTGACTCTGAATCTGAAATGTTGTTTAAATCAGACAATCAGTGAGTCATTTGCTGCATGTTTCTGCTGTGTAGAGATGACCCATGCTGCATGGTTGGGTTGGAAACATGCCTCATTGTAATCTAATATTAACAGGATACTGAGAGTCATTTTGTGTAAGTCATCCTCCCTGTCGGTTCATTCTACAGCACTTCAGAGGCAGGAAGAACCGCTGCTTCAGGCTGGCTGTGAAGGCAGTCAGGAGAGCTTTTGTCTACGCCACTAAAGGTCGGAAGCTAAAGAAGCGCAACATGAGGACGGTGAGATACCTGATACTCAAATACAACAACAGCAAACACATGGGTAACACACAGGGTACAGTCTGAGGTTTGTCAATGATATTTAGTGTGTAGTATTCAAAAGAGCTTCTAGCTGCTGTGTAATCCCGGCTATCACTCTCAGTGCATGAACAGGTGTACCTCACCTGAACATTGAGAGTCTGGGAATGATCAAGAGGAGGATCATGTGAAGCAGTGCATGGTGCAGACAGTCACTGTGCAGCTGTTTACCATCCCTGTGCTACTCTCTAATTCAATTTACTTAATTTCACCAGGATAATACTGCATACACATATACAGTCACTGGCCACTTTATTAGGTACACCTTGCTAGTATCATGTTGGACCCCCTTTTGCCTTCAGAACTGCCTTAATTCTTCTTGGCATAGATTCAACAAGGTGCTGGAAACATTCCTCAGAGATTTTGGTCCATATTGGCATCGCACATCCATGATGCAACTCTCCTGTTCCACCACATCCCAAAGGTGCTCTATTGGATTGAGATCTGGTGACTGTGGAGGCCATTGGAGCACAGTGAACTCATTGTCATGTTCAAGAAACCAGTTTGAGACGATTTGAGCTTTGTGACATGGTGCGTTATCCTGCTGGAAGTAGCCATCAGAAGATGGGTACACTGTGGTCATAAAGGGATGGACACGGTCAGCAACAATACTCAGGTGGGCTGTGGTGTTTAAACCATGCTCAGTTGGTACTAAGGGGCCCAAAGTGTGCCAAGAAAATATCCCCCACACCATTACACCACCACCACCAGCCTGAACCGTTGATACAAGGCCGGATCGATCCATGCTTGCATGTTGTTTACACCAAATTCTGACCCTACCATCTGAATGTCGCAGCAGAAATCCAGACTCATCAGACCAGGCCACGTTTTTCTGCTGCTGTAGCCCATCTGCTTCAAGGTTGGACGTGTTGTTGGTTCAGAGACGGTCTTCTGCAGACCTTGGTTGTAACAAATGGTTATTTGAGTTACTGTTGCCTTTCTATCATCTTGAACCATTCTGGCCATTCTCCTCTGACCTCTGGCATCAACAAGGCATTTTCACCCAGAGAACTGCCGCTGTCTTTGTCGGACCATCCTCTGTAAACCCTAGAGATGGTTGTGTGTGAAAATCCCAGTTAAGACCATAACGTGTGATCAGTGATGATAGGTAAACATTGGTTCACTGAGGGAGTCACGTGTCAAAAAGGTTGGGAGCCACTGCCTCCACTGTGTACATCCATCATATTCATTGTTTTCAGTTCGGGCATGCCGATGTCTTGCAAAGAATAATTATGTTATTAATTGAGCAAAGTAATCAGTATTATTTATTGTGCTCTTATTTCTTCAGCTCTGGATCTCACGCATCGCAGCAGCATCACGAGAGCATGGCATGAAGTATCCCGCCTTAATGCACAACCTCACCAAGGTTAGTTGTGCTGAATGTTACAGAACTGCACCAGTCCTCTATGTTCTCTGTGCTGTTTGTTCACTCTATCTGTGACACATTTCCTCTGTTCGTCCACACAGACCAGCGTTCAGCTCAACCGACGTGTGATCAGCGATCTCGCCATCACAGAGCCTCGGTCATTCCTCTCACTTGCAAAGCTGGCGAGGGCTCGGCAACAGGAAGGCTTCCGTGCAGCGCTGGGTGATGGCAAAGAGCCCGCTGGTGTCTTCTCCCGTGTTGTTGTGCTACAGTGAAGGACTCGCTGCAGTTACAGATTTCCAATTGTTATGTGGTTTAAAGATCGGGGGTCTTGGATTATGGGGATGCCATGAAAAAGTCAGGCACACAGTCGCCTCCTGTCTTTAAAGTTTTTGCTTCATCTAAAAAATTTTTGTATAATAATATAAGATTCATCAGTTGAATTATTTTGTGTGTCAAACTTCTTTGATCACTAAACCAGGAATGCTCTGTGACTAATAATGACCCACATAAATGACCCATCTTGACACCAGGGTCTGGTTGCTATATGTGATGGGGGATACTTAGTCAAAAAAGGTCAACTGATGTGTGATCAGAGAGTAGACCATGACATGATGTACTGCCAGACCTGTGTCTCTGCCTCTGCCATGTATAAACAAGTCGACATGGAGACTCACATGTGTTAGCTGCACACTGATGTAAAATCCTTTGAACTGTTACCAACAGAGCGACGTCCCTGAAGCAGAAAGAAATGCAATATCTTGATCAAGGACACTCCAGCAGGATGGATGATTACTGTTGCAGTGCCTTGATAGCTGACCTTGAAGGACAGTTTAGAAAAGATTGAATATTTGAAATTATGCACGTATATCACAACAAGGACACAATCATAATCCAAGATGGCCCCTGGCATTTAACAGCATAGCATTGTTTGTCCACAGACAGCTCTGCTTCTGCTCCGTTCACTGATTTATCCCCAACATCTCTATCATGTGTGCCAGACTTTTCCGGCTACAGTTTTCCCTACAAAATACTCCACTGCAGCACCCCGATTACCTCCTGTATCATGATAGAGGATTTGATTATCCATTTCCACAAACCTCCCTTTGTTTGCATATGAAACCTTTTGTTAAGTTATGAATGGATGCTGATTATGAGGGTTTTTTTTGTGGAGGCTGGGAAGAGGAGTGACCTCAAGCTTTTTCATGTGTTGACTTCTCACTCTGTGTAAATATATATTTTACCATTTGTTGTGAGGTTGAATGTCAAGATAATTAAAGTTTTTGATATGAATGTTGTTGTCCTGTCTTGTTTCTATTCAAACATGTTAGGGGTGTGATTTTGAGAGATATTTTATTCCTAACTAATCACGTCGGCTTCTGCAAATGTCCCTCTGTTGTAGCCATAATTGCATAATGCACAGTATTATAATACTAGAGAAAGGGCACAATTATCTTCCTCCAATGGACCAGCAGTATTTGAGAAGCATTGCTCCAGCCTTACATGAATATCTCATGAATGCTCCATGTTACACACTGAGATAAAAAACAGACACCACTGATGTCAATGACCTGTGACTTACAAAACCATTGAACAGCCTGATGCAACTACAAGAAAACCAGTGAATTCAATGTTTTTTTGACCCTCTGCGGCTACCGTACCAATTTTGGGTGGGACTACACGAATGACCTCTACTGAAGTCAGTTAAGGGGACAGCCAATGACAAGAAGAAGTACTTATTAGCAGCCAATCATCGCTGCAGTTATTCAGAGAAACCTGTACACTCTGCTGCACGTGCGCAGAAGACTGCGGCATGACACGCGTGTAGAGGAAGTGTACTGACAGTAGTCTGTAGCAGCTGTAGCCTCTCGCTCCTCACACAACCGGCTAAACTGTGTTTTATCTGTTCTGGTTAAAATGTCGTGGCTGTTCGGCCTGAACAAGGGGCAGCCTGAGGCGCCACCCGGTCTCCCGGTTCAGCCGCCACCACCGCCACCTCCGCCAGCCGGAGGCTCCAGCGGCGGCGGTGGAGATAAACCCAAGGACAAATGGAGCAACTTCGATCCCACCGGGCTGGAGCGAGCTGCTCAGGCGGCTAAGGAGCTCGACAAGTCCCGTAAGTGTTCTGGAGGGGCCCGTTAGTGGAGGTCACCCCAGTAGAGATTTCTCCTCATTATAGCAGCATTACAGCACACAGATGGACATGGTGTGTCAGGATTCAGCTCCTCTCTGGTCATGGTGGTGTCACCTCAGTGATGCTACAGCTCAGATCATGTGGCCCACAGTCACAGCCAGCATCTGCACATGTTCATTTAATCTAATCTGTGTAAAATTGTTGGTTGTACATGAGAGCAATGCTGTAATGCTCTCACCTTCATTCAAACTACTGACTGGGTTCAAAGGTCATCACCTTGCAATGTGGCTTGCAACATCCAAATTCAACTTGTTCCACTTACATGCCATGGTTCACTGAGTGTGCCTATCTTGTTTTGTGTTCTAAGATAAGGTAGAAATAGGGACTAGTGACACAACTGACAGGGTTCAGGGGCAGACCAGCATTTTACATTGATCACTGTAATTTCAATGTGTTGAAGCCATCACACCTCTCACCTCTCTGATGTTGCCCCCATCCAGGACATGCCAAAGAAGCTCTGGACCTGGCTCGAATGCAGGAGCAGACCACTCAGATGGAGCATCAGAGCAAAATGAAGGTACGGCAGAAACATGCGTACAGAACTCCAGCGTCTTTCTTCATCTGCTTCAGGACACGCCAGGTCTTTTCCAGACCATGTAGTTGATATTGTCAGTGCTAATTTACATCAACTAAAGAAATAGTGAATAATAGTGTGAGTTACTGGATGGATTAGGGTGCTGAGGGATGTCGTCGTCAGGTCAACCTTATTTATATAGCACATTTAATATGACAAGTGTAAACCCGGTGTGCTTGAGATACATCATACATGACAAACATAAAATATCATATGGGATAATAAAGTATTACAAATTCAGGACATGATAAAATCACCAGTTTTTAGAGTTTCTTTAGTCGCTGCAGTGTAAAATGTGAAAGTTAAACATTTGAGAAAATAGAGAATAGAAGAAGCACACACAATAAATATTGCACATTATTCACTGTGTCTTTGTATGTGCTCAGATAAAACTGAACAGGTTTTGATTGCATAAGTTTAAGATTACTGTCATGGCATTGTTGATGATATATTTGACATGTGGACCCAGTCGATTGTGCGGTAGCAATGTATTAAAATGTTCACCAGTGTGTTACTTCTGTTTAATAGATTTTTGCCACCTTTTTCTAACAGGAGTATGAAGCAGCAGTCGAGCAGCTCAAAGGTGACCAGATCCGAATCCAGGGAGAGGAGAGAAGGAAAACTGTTAATGAGGAGACCAAGCAGCATCAAGCGGTGAGAGCAGACATGCATTTTATTTTAGTATTTTCATAACAAGTAGGAGTTTGCTGCAGCGGTGAGCTAAACACATTTGGCTGTTTTGTGTTACAGAGAGCTCAGTATCAAGATAAGCTGGCCAGGCAGCGATATGAGGACCAACTAAGACAACAGGTGAGTTCATCTTCTACATATTCAGGATAAAATGCGTCAGAAAGACACGCAGCACCGACATTTATTTTGTGTTTTCAACAGCAAGCCCTGAATGAGGAGAACCTTCGCAAACAGGAGGAGTCTGTCCAGAAACAGGAGGCCATGAGGAAAGGTTTGTAACACTAACGACAGGATCTTGTAGAAGCTTTTTACGATGTTGAGGGGTGGTGTATTTACTCGTTGGGTGTTGTGGTTTCTTACAGCGACGATAGAGCACGAGATGGAGCTAAGGCACAAGAACGAGCTCCTGCGTATAGAGGCAGAGACTAAAGCACGAGCCCGTGTGGAGCGAGAGAACGCCGATATCATCCGCGAGCAAATCCGCCTGAAGGCTGCAGAACACAGACAGACTGTCTTGGAGTCTATAAAGTAAGACACACTCACTCATTTAGGATTTTAGACCACAGTATTTGTGATGAGGAGGTGTATCGTCCTGCATCACGCTGAAACTGAAGGTGTTGAGTGTTTTTAAATAAACCAGTATCTCACAGCAGTTTAGCCTCAGGATAAATAAAAGCGTATCTTATCCTTTCTTAGAAGTGGTCAGTTTGTGTGTTAAGTTACTGGTTCATTGACTGTTGGATGTTGTTAATGCCCAAAAGGCATGCTAATGACAGCTGACCTGTATTTGCCCTCAGGACTGCAGGTGCTGTGTTTGGAGAAGGATTCAGGGCCTTTGTGTCAGACTGGGACAAAGTCACAGCCACGGTGAGACTGCTGTTTCCACCCACCATCAGCTTAGTGAATGATTATATTATAAATACATAATAAAGACTGAATTTTCCACTGAATTTCACTGATGGAAGGACAAACTGGGCAACTAAATGAGTTTTTTGAAATATCCCTACACACTAAAGGTCAGTTAGGTGTAAAAGCATTTAAAAATGACAGTATTTATAGATAAACAGATGCCTCCAGTTCACACTAACTGAAGCCTGTCTGTTCATAAAGGTTGTTTCATTTTATAATGACTGGTACCGTCTGTCTCTACTGATTCAGCAAAGGCATCTTTTGAGTGCTCATGAATTTAGACCTTAGAAGCAGAAATGGTCAAAGCAAGTAGTGTTTTTTCACACTGAACATATAAGCATAACGATCCTTCTGTTATGTGTTTGCATTTGCTAGTGTTACACCACTGATGTTGCCTGATATCAGACAGAATTGTCAACTCCTTACACTCCGTTTCCATCTTCAGTCTGACATTGCATCCACTTCAGCCGATTTCAGTGGGGGTAGGGGTGGTTGGTCTCGATTTCTTAACCAGTTAAGACCAACGTATCTGCCTGAGTCTAACATCATTTTAAGTCCACACTGATGTGAAGCCATTCTTTAGGAGTGGAGCGGAGTGAAGAACAACAAACTACAATGTCGGGTGATACTGAGGAGACATATAGATTTAGAACAGCCTTGATAGCAGCGTCTAACTTGTAAACAGTGCTTGCCATAGTTGTAATTACTTCTCTTTGGTTCTGGTGAACTGTTTGACAACAGCTTGACAATGATGTTTGTCCTGCCCATGCTGCTTATCGGCTAATTTAGTTTCCCCACGGCGCTCAATTGCTCACCGAGGAATTGATGTTTTATGTCAGCGATGCCAGACAAATCAGTCAACCCGAACTCTGTGAAGTGGGAGGATTTAAAGGTCTGGATCCAGGCAACCATTCATGACATCCAATAGACAAAGGGTAACCATACATTTCCATGCGAATGTTCGAACTGTCGACGTGGGCAAATATATAAAAACAGGTTTGGAGTGCTGCTCTGGGTTAAGGCACTGTGTAGTTAATTGTGAAATCAGGTGCTCTTCAAAGATAGGGCAAATAGTCACATTAAATTAAAAAATGACTGGCCACATCACTTAGTGTAAAAGTCTGTGGTGCAGGCAGGTAGTCCAAAAATGCATCCGAGGCACTCTTGACTGTAGTTGAAAATCCTTTATTGATTCATGGATAAACCAACGCATTTCGACTGTACTTGTTTTTTATCCATAGGTTTAACTTGAGTTTGACCTGAGTATTTAAGTGCTGTCTAACTGTTGCATCACATCACCAGGTGGCAGGACTGACCCTTTTAGCCGTGGGAGTTTACTCTGCCCGAAACGCAACAGCGGTGGCAGGACGTTACATCGAGGCCAGGCTCGGTAAGCCGTCACTGGTGAGGGAAACGTCCCGATTCACCGTGGCAGAGGCAATCAAGCATCCAGTCAAGGTAGCTAATGACCAGTTAATGCTTTGCTTGTTTTGTCGACTGCGGATTATAATATGCTAATTGTACTTTTAATGTTAACTATTTAGACGACCAAGCGGCTGAGGAGCAAACCTCAGGACGCCCTCGAGGGAGTCGTGCTCAGTGTAAGTGGAAGAAGGATGTAACCAACATGCATTTTTTAAAGGTTTGTAACCTCTTCATATAAATGCATTTTTTAATCTCTTAGCCTTCCCTGGAAGAGCGTGTTCGTGACATCGCCATAGCAACAAGAAACACGAGACAGAACAACGGCCTGTACAGGAACATCCTCATGTATGGCCCTCCAGGCACGGGCAAAACTCTCTTTGCTAAGGTAAACCTGAGGACTAACCACTGACAGATGAAAACATTCATACACAAGTGATGCCTTGTCTAACTGTGAGGCATTTCTCTTTCTGTCGAGTAGAAGCTTGCAATGCATTCTGGGATGGACTACGCAATTATGACTGGTGGTGATGTGGCACCCATGGGCCGTGACGGTGTGACAGCCATGCACAAAGTGTTTGACTGGGCTGGTACAAGTCGGCGCGGGTAGGCTTGATTATATGAAATGGACAAATATACAAACAGCAGTAGTGTACACTCCAGATATGAAACAACAGATAAAAGTTATCGTGTGTTTTCCTGTTACAGGCTTCTGCTTTTCGTTGATGAAGCTGATGCATTCCTTCGCAAGAGAGCCACTGTAAGTCTGCATGTATTTAATTTTCCAGAAACCCTTGAGGTTTGTGTTACAAATGTCCCTTATTTTATGTGACACATAACGTGCAATCTTTGCTGTTGTTTTTTGCAGGAGAAGATCAGTGAGGACCTCAGAGCCACTTTGAATGCATTTTTGTATCGCACTGGAGAGCAGAGCAACAAGTAAAACATTATTTATATTCTCTACAAATTAAAACTTGAATGTTACCTCGCCTATACCACTGTGGCTACCTCCCAGTGCATCTCTAAGCTGCTTGATTTCTGTGTTTCTCCTTCAGGTTCATGCTGGTGTTGGCCAGTAACCAGCCAGAGCAGTTCGACTGGGCCATCAACGACCGTATAGATGAAATAGTGAATTTTGCTCTGCCGGGTCCTGAGGAGAGGGAGAGGCTGGTGCGGTTGTACTTTGACAAATATGTGCTGGAGCCCGCCACAGGAGGGAGGCAGTGAGTACAATCCCCACACAGCAACACAGCTTTTGAAATAGGGCACCGAGTCACTGCACACTCAGGATGCATACTAAACAAGTAATTAGGCCTAGTCCACCATGTCCAACACTCACATGTCAGTGAGCTCATTCTGAGTTAGTTTGAGGAGTCATATAATCTTTGATAGAGTGATCCATGGCTGTGCTAGAATAAGGATTAGATTTAGACTCTGAAAAACAGCCTGTTGGCCATCTGGAGCAGGGCCAGCCATGCTGAGGCATTAATTACACAGAGGTCAGATGTGTGATGAGGGCTGAGAGGTGGGGAGCAATCCACAAAGGCCAGGAGGCAATGAACTGAGCACCAAAAACACAACAAAGCCAGAAAGAAACTGATTTCAGGTTAGCTAAGCTGTGGGAAAATCATTTACTCTGATGCCCTCTCATCTATCTGTGTGTGTGTGTGTGTGTGTGTGTGTGTGTGTGTGTGTGTGTGTCTTTGTGCAGGAGGATGAAGCTGGCACAGTTTGACTACGGTAAAAAGTGCTCAGAGATAGCGAAGCGGACAGAGGGCATGTCAGGAAGAGAGATCTCTAAGCTGGGTGTGGCCTGGCAGGTACGTTCATAGCTGTAATCTTTTTTTTTTTTTTTTTTTTTAAAAAAGCAATATAAATCTTAATTTCACAAAACTCCCATCAATTTTTGTAAATGAATGTATAGAACACAGGTGTTGACACGTTCTCTTGCAGGCGGCAGCATATTCCTCTGAAGATGGCGTCCTGACAGAGGCCATGATTGACGCCCGAGTTGATGACGCTGTCAGGCAGCACCTTCAGAAGATGGACTGGCTGCATGGAGACGAGGAGTCTCAGGCCAAGACCCTTACACCTCCCACAGCTGGAGCGATAGCCAGTGGAGGCAAAATGGGCTTCACTCTGCCGCACAGTGAGGCACCCGAGGCTCAGGAGGTGATCGCCCCAGTTCTCGAGATGAATACGAAACAAGAAGGTGAAAGTATACCACCTCCTTCATATATCGACCAATCTGCAGAAGGCAAAAGTGCCACCCCAGCTGCACAGGACTGTGAAGATGCCGTCAAAGCAGAAGCTGCGACGACAGTGGAGAGTTTAGACCAGCCTGCTGCCTCCACTGATGGTGAGGGCAAGACAGAGAAGGAAGATAAAACTGGATCATCTCCTCCAAAAGACGGAACTCCAGTTTGAGTTGTAGATTTGGTCAGTGGGGCGGCTGGGATTAGAAAGATTAGTGTCCTGCCCCTGTAACTAGTCTGTCAGTTTGTCTTAAAGTCTGTTGGACTGTCTGTGACAGAAGATGTGTCCAGCAGGGGGAGATAATTAACTTTACGAAACACAAATAATGCCTGAGACTGTTTGATTCTAATATATAATGTATACATTGTAAAAGTGTACTTTACATGAAACCAGACTGTGTGTCTGTAATAACAGTGTATAAGTGTTGTGCACAGTGGAGTGTCTCTGTGGAAATGATTAAATGGATTTGTGTTTTTATAAACAGGAGAAGTTCGAATGTTTTTGTGGTACAGTTGCTTATGATAATACACTGGAATAATCAAGAGATAGTTGAGTTAAAATTTTTTTGAGGAAGCTACGTTTTGAATAGTTAGTGACATGATATGGCATGGCGTTGCAACATGGCAGTCTCCGTGGACGAGGACCCGCTCCCTGTGTGTATATATAAACGTCTCATTCTAAGTTAATGAAAACACAAGGATTCTCATTTTCAGGTGATTATACACAAAAGAAAACATACTTATTTTATTATATTATATTCAATTTCTGCCTATATGTCCCCAAAATCCTACGCACTGGACCTTTAAGTATGCAATAAAAGCACAAAATGGCCAAAAACTATGAAAAAAACACAAAGTTGTATTTGACTCAGTCAGACCTGTAAGTTTGTTGAAAAGAAAACAGCACACACAAACTACTGAATTTAATCCACATTTTTATATTTACGTGTCATTAACATCATGGTGCACATCTTGCTCGATGTTTCCCCCGGAGTCCTCCGTGTGTTTTGAATGTGACCGCCTGAACAGCTCCCTTGTGTTACTGAATTTGGGCATCCATGACCAGGAAACTGGAAATAAAGACAGGATAACTGGGCTGATGAAAGGCTCTTCTATGTATTTATGTGCAAGGTGAAGTGAAATGGGAAGTAGTGAAAATCCAAATCATAATGAGTGGGGATTTAATTGTTTAAGAAAAAAAACATACTTTAGGAACCCCTAAGCTTTTCCTCACATGCCAGTCCAGTCTAGGCTGACTTCTTACTCACCGTTCATTTGGTTTTCCCTCCAGTATTTGAGCTTTGAGCGCCAAACCCTGTCCAACCACTGCAAGGTCAAGCTGATGCAGAAACCCAAGAGCAGTCCAACTATCACGTTCATCTCCTGGCGACTCATGATGTCACTCCCGGTGTAGTTTTCCCTGGAATCCACAATGGACTGGGCCCCATTATATGAAATGACACGATAGACTTGATGCCTGCAGCAGAGAGCAAAAGCCAGTGGTGGGGGATGTGCACACAGAAAAATAAAGATAAAAATGAACACATGATGCTGAAAGATGATGATTATGGAGTTTTGTTTTTAGGGTGATATCAAAATCTACTCATTCCTGATCAATTTTCTGTGTGGAAAAAAATGTAGACCTTCACATGTTTTCAGCATCAATGCAACTGTTTCATTATCTGAACAGTGAGTCTGAACATAGTGTAGAAACAGAGCAGAAAAAAAGAACTGATATGACTCAGGTGTGAAAACGCTCCACTGTTTAACAGTTTTCTTAGTCAAGGAAAAAATGTGTGAAGCCTGCCTGCTTGGCACTGATGTTATTACAACAGAGGATATTACTCTTGATAATGGATGTGCTGCTCGGCTGGGAAGTAGTGTCAAATACATGGCATTCCTGGAATTTAAGCCCACACTGTGTAGAAAGATAGTTCAGCATATTGCTGGTGTTTACACCCTTACTTGCAATGATCATTTTACAGACATTACAAGCAGCACTGTTGTCATCTTTATTTGTCAAATGAAACCATGCGAAATTGTTTTAAGATGTGCAACTATTAGGAAAACATGCTGGCATCAAAAAAGGGAATTGATAAGTATGGAGGCATTCAATTCTGATACCAATTTGGAACTGGTTCTCCACTGGCACCGGTTCTTGATTCCCATCCCTGGTCTCGTAAACAATTATATTAGAAAATGACAGCCTGAACAAACGTCACAAAAATTGAAAATTTGACATTTGCCTTTTCTGAAAATCAAGCCTTTAATTTGAATTCAACTGTCAGTAATTTAACAGTTGAATCAGCCAATCTCCTAAAAAGCTCACAAAAATTCCAGTCTTACAAATGTTAACAATACAGCAATACAATACAGCTCATAGGTTAAACACACAAAAACACACACCACCTGAAGTCACAGGAACCAGAGGGAACAGGTGTGGTGACATGGACTCCAATACTGTGCATCAGCAGCTCACAGTTCGAGCATCTCTGACACACAGGGAACGAGTATCTCACTGAAAACAGATACTGAGCTGAAAGCCATGAGATAAATACCCAGGGTTCATGGTGAGAAGTCATCATAAAAAAATGCTGTTTTAATCCAGGTTTATTGGGTTACAGTACCCCTTTTTCTGAGCTCACTGTCAGCAACTCGCAGCAGCCTTTTAAAGCACGTTTAGTAACATATGCGTCGAGTTTGTCTCTCTCACCACAATATACAATCATGAAGTGTCATCTAGTGCAGCTGGACTGTGTCTTACCGTCCACACATACAGGCGCATACGCGGTCCTCCCCTCTCACTAACGGCAGGATGAAGTTGAGCAAACGGTCAAAAAGCGCGTTCATGTCCGTCAGAAAAGTCAACACCTGGAACCAAACAGTAACTAAAGTAAGCCTAAAATAACGCTATACAACACAACACTATAATATTCCCATTACAACGGGGAAATGACACGTTTAAATGTTGATTAACTAGCTTAACTACTATCAATTTATTCGTAAACTGTCGACGGAGAAGCGTTAATACACTTTAATATCTGGCGAAATATGGAACGTTATGGTGCCTTCACGTCCCGACTCTTCAGTTAGCTTACATCTCCAACACGATACAACAGAACAGGGCACTTGACTGCCCGGTGGCTGTCAGTCCGTCGGTCCGTTGGTCCTGCCTTCTCGGTCCGCTGGCTCAGCTTCACATCACCACCGGGGAGCAGTCGGTGACGGATTTTCAGTCACAGGTAGTTTAATAACTCATTGTTTTTAGCTTACAGTAAACAAAATAAGTTATCATGGTAACTTTTGTTAGCTAACAGTTACCGCTGTCACACTGTTCATTAGAACAGTCATTCTTCTAACTAACGGTCGGTTAGCTTAGTTAAACGTTAACGTTCAGGATAGTTTGTCAGGGTAATCTGACTACATTTTTTAACTAAATATCTTATTTTAAATTGCCATTATTGTTATGTGAGAAAGCTAGTTAACTCTAACATTATTTTATTAATAAAAATGAATGAAGATTAAAACCGAGGTCACCTGGTAACAGACAGTTAACGTTACATCCGGACACTAACGGTTTTAACTTATGGTTGAGTATTAACCAGAGGAGAGTAACTGACCCACTCTTCAAACAAAGCCAACTGTAGACTTGCTTTAAATAATTTTGCCTTACTCTGATTTTTTTTTAGGTTTAATCAAAAAAATAAAATAAGTTGGCCTCTCATGTCCACTTAAAGGTCTATAATACCTAAATTAAAGGAACACTTTGCCCACAAAATTACCATTTGTACATCAATTTGTCAAGCCGAGTTATCTTTAACTTGTGAAGAAAATTTTGTTTTTCTTGCATGCCTCCACAGAAAACAATGAACATATTGATTAATTGGGGACCACGCAAAACAGCGGATGATATCAAAACATGTGTTTCTCACACAACTCTTGCAGTATAAAGGGCCATTCACATGCCGCGTTTTTTGCACACTCAAATTCATCGTTTTAAATGAGGACCGTGGCAGGTGTGCTCAAATGCCAGAGCGATACCGGAGCGGTGCACATGGCTTACCGACAACTATTTTTCAGGGTGTGAAAGGCTGTGCCCTGAGATATACAGAGCACCGCATGTCATGTGATGAGGACCAACCAATCACAGCCAACAGATATTTCTCCCTCCTGTAAATATCAGTCTGTGATAAATATGGAAAAGTTGATCATTTTGGTGCAGAACTGCCAGAGCTTTTCATCTGTCCCACAGACGATATTCCCACACACAATAGGCCTACACACAAACAGCGCCTGGAAGATCAGCTCTGCACTCAGGATTTCAGATAAATAGACTATACTTGTTAAGGTTGCTTAGCAACGTCAGACGCAACCTGCCGCTGCGTTCTTAAAAGATGGCTCAAAAAAGGCACAAAAGTAGCACCAAGTGCCTAACCTTGTGGTTTCCAGGTGGTTAAAGATGGGGCATGTGTACAGCCCCTTATCTGACACTCATATATTCAGGTGTATGCTCAGTACTTCCCAAACACATGCATTTTCATTAAGACTTTACTATTCAGAACTGAACTGAAAGTGAAACATATCTCTGCTCCATTCAACGACACTATTCAAAGATGCTTAGGATTTTAAGCTAAAATGCTTGTGTTTAGGAGATACTGAATATATAACTGGAAAGGCGAGACTTGAATTATACTGCATAAGTTTTGTGAGAGTTTGTAAATGGGTGTCTTAATATAGTGCTGCTGTTGTTAGATGCAGGTCCCTGATCAATAAATCACTATTTTTGCCATTTCCCTTGGAGACATGCAATAAAATGTAGTTTTCTTCATGAAATCAATGTAACAGCTACTTCTCACAACTCTATTTGTAGCTTGATGGTGTTGTAACTGAATGATTGTTTTGTGTAACAATACCTATTTTCAATTTTATGTAATGCTCTTACATGAAACCACCATAAAGTAAACATCTCAAAGCACACGTCGTGACATGTTTCGTAGAGATCTTTCATTAGAGGATTCATATGTACATACAGAAAAATCAGGCACTCTGAGCTGAGCTCGCATTTTGCAAATAATTACAATGCTTCAATTCTTTAACATTTACAAAAGAAAAAAAAACATACTATGCCCTGAAAATAGCATATCCAAGTTTAAATATGAATCAACACATTATATTGGAAACACACTGGAGGAGGGCCTCAGAGAGGTCTAGGTTTGGTTATTCATTATTAGCCCACCCACTTTAACTTAATCCTAACTAACCTACAACACATGGTCGCACAAAAACACGCATTCAGTTCAAATAATTCTATCTGACCCCAAAAACACATGTACACTGTCCCAAACTATGAATAAAAATCTGACATATACGCTTCAATAAATTGCAATTATATATCATCTGGAGAAAATAAAAATCAGCATTATTGTTGCTGTACTGAACAAAAATCAAAGGGACTGGTAAAGAAGTTGTTGCAGGGGTGTGGGTGTTACGGCTCTCCCTGAGGAGACATGGTTGAGTGATTTCACTGGACTGGGATGGAGGGAGGACCTTGGCCTGACCTTGATCCGGAGAAATGAAGGCAGAGCGAGAGCAGCGAGTCCGTCCTCTGCATAGAGGATAAACCCATCATCTCCAATGTGTCCAACAGCAGCCATTTGTTAGGTCCTGACCCAAAGCTGTGTCTGTGGCTGTGTAGGCACACAATGTGTATGTATGGTGTTGTGGATGTCTGAGGAGTAAGAATTGTGTGTGTGTGTGTCTATAATACTATTGTTTGATTGCTTGGGACCTAGGTCTGTGTTTATTGCAGATTTCTATTGTGTTATCAGTAGAAACAGACAGTGTGAAGAAAAGGCCTGTTGCTCTTCTCCTCAAACTCTTGTATGAGCTCATCTATTTCATCCTCCATGTCCTCAGTTTCCTGGATCTGCAGGGGTGGAGGAGGAAGGACATTAAATACAGCCTGAAAGCACACAGCTCATTTGCACCAATGAACTCAAATCAATCTGCACACCATTTATGAATCCATAGCACCCTTTTATAGCATTACTAGCATTTTCATTAGGTGGCCACTTAATCCCTAACTTTGGAAATACACTGCATGGCATATTATGTCCACTTAACGACCATTTCATTCATATTCCTTAAGTAAACAGATATACGGCAGAATTTTTCATCATTAAACCACAGTAGAATGAATGATTTATGAGGGTTTGTTGTATCAGTGTGGCTATGTAACAGTGTTTGATAATCCCAGCAGGAAACACTCACACATTGACACAGCTCACAGATGAGGAAGGCGCCCAGCGTGGCTTCCTCATGGTTATCCTGAATGTCTACATTGATGACGTGCACAGGCTGTAGGGTCTCCTGCTCTCTTGAGTTCAGATCTGGGGAGCAGCAACAGATGAAAGAGAAAGTGTGCGCCACACAGTCAGAAGTGTTAAGGGTGAAAACTTGGTCTGCATACAAATCATGGTGGGATGAAAATTGCATTATGCAAGCAGTATCAAGGCAGTGTTTTTGCAAGCAGCTTTGAATTTGCAACTGTATCCCTTCAGTGATCAAACATGTCTTGTGAGAAGCCTCACCCTCCAGCACTTGGTCATAAACTCTCTCTTCACAGGTGATGACCAGGTCAAACTTATCCTTGCAGCTTTGAAAGCGCTCCGGCTTTGCTTTGATGCGCTTGTTGCGGTCCAGCATGTGCAGGATGCCATTCTGTGTGTATCTGAAGAGTTGGGGAGGTCAAGGAACACAACAGGAGCAAAAGAAACACTTCAAGGTAACACAGCACCTTCACTGAACTGTCAGAGACAGAATCTCAACCAACCAAATAAGGAAAAATACCCTCCAATGCCCAGTAAGACAAATATTGGTTTGAATGAGACTGCATAATTTGTTTGCACTGTGGGGTACACACTTGAATGGTGTCAGTGTTTGTTTGTATTGGCACACTACAGCACCCTCTGGTGGTGTCTGAAAAAACTTCCATTCCTTAGTGATCTGTTGGGGGGAAAAAAAGGAGGAAGCCAATTCGGGGCCGTACCAGTAAAATGTTAAACTTATATTATCATATAATATTGTTATCAATGAGTCATTCTGATACTGGCCAGCCAACATTTATTGTCCTTACCACAGATGTTATAATGTAATCACACACCTTCATCTTTCTAAGATGTGACCAAAGCCTATGTTGCTCTATCAATACATGGCCATCATACAAGACACCGCCAAATATATAAATAAATAAAGAACCAACCAACATGGTGAATTGTCTATAATAGTGGACTATATTTTCTTAAAAAAAAAAAAAAAAAAAAAAAAAATCATGAAAACCTGCAAGAATACAACAAAGTCTTCTAAGAGGTAATATGAACATTTTCTATTCATAACACATTGGGATATACAGGGCAGCTATTTTACAATTTGCAACACATGCAGGAATAAAGACAACCTACCGTGGGATGGCAAAATGTTCACCTGCAATACAGTAATATCATTAGCAAGAATTTGGTGAAGCACAAATCTTACTTTTAAGCCCAGATGTTCACAAGAAGCCTATTTGACCATAATAACTCAATATGACCTTCCTGGACATGCCTAAGTCTGTAAACAAAGCAATTATCTGAAGAACAAGTGGAGAAATTCCAGGAAAATCAAAACAGACGCCTTAAAATATACAATCAAGGGGGCTGGTTTAACATTGGACTACGAACTAGTATTTGAGCGATATCAATGAAGACCAAAAAGTACCACTATTCAGTATTTATAAGGACAAGCAACTGCAATAACTAAATTAAAACAAAATTTCTGAGACAGTGTTTACATGTGCAAAGAAAATGCAGTGCAAATTCTTCACTTTTAGATATGTCTCCAGCTACAACAAATTACAGGCTATTTTTGTAATGTGGTCTAAGGTTGTTAGTAGTATATGCATGAATTCCCACTAACACAGGTCTAATTTACTCTTCAACTTACACTGGGGCACCAGTCAATATTATCTTAATCAAAATTTATGATGTGACCCAGAAAGCCAATACTTAAGCAGTGAAACCTTCCTTGATGTTTGTGTTGATTTAGTATGGTTAAATGTCCTGTAAGGCATTTCATTTTCCAGCCAGTGTTGTCTATGTGTCACCACTGTTTTTCTTTGCTGATGTAGTTCT